ATCTTCTAAAAAGGGTGGGCATGAAATCTCCCATTGCTTCTGAGGTAAATGTTAAGTCATACCCTGGAACTTAAAGGAATGCCACAGGAACAAAGGTAAAGTCGATGAAATAATGCACACAGACCAAGTCTTGGACTCCTCACCTCTATGCCTGGTATTCCTATCCTTTAGTCCCAGCAGCCCTTGCAATAGAGTACTGATGGACATGGTAAGGGGAAGAAGTAGACAGGGAGACTGCAAGGGGACACAGAGGAGACACAGAAGGACGAAAAGTGCCCTGGTAAACATCTAGAGCAACCTCCTCAGTCTTCAGGTGGGAAATAAGAGGCCTGAGGAGGGAAAATAACCCAGCCAAAGCCTCACAGTATAATAGTAGTAGACCTGGATGAAAACTTAAGTTCAGATGCAGTGACTCCTTCCACAAAAGGTAATGCCAAAAGTCACAAAGGTTGGCAGGAGAATGAGACATCACCTCAGGTGAATACCTACCAGCAACCCCAGAAAACCACATGGAGGCTGTGAGGAGGACCTAGAAGCCAAGAAACCTTAATTCCAGACCTACTTCTCCCACTAACCACCAACCCTCAACTCTCCCCCACCTTCTCATCTCACTCTACACTCCTCCTGAGTGAGGATACTTACTTTACTCCCATGACTTCAGAATTCCTACCCACCCCAAAGTGGACCACAACCTCCACAAGGGCAAAATTACCATATTATTTTTCACTCCTCCCCATCCCCATATCTACTCCAAATCGATTCATCTCAATCTCTGTTAAAGGTACTTCTAACCACCCTGGTTCAATCCCAGAGCACCCTGTCCTCATAACTGACATTCCTTTTCTCCTCATAGCACTGACCTGGAGAAGACCGTTATTGTCATTTATCTGGACTATTTCAAGGGCCTATACTAGATCTTCTGTCTTTGGCCAGAATTATTTTCCTAAAATACAAATCTGGTAAATTAAAAGATAAGCATAAAAATAATGATAAAAGAACTAAGAAAATATTAGAGACCATTTTATAATCTTAGAAGATTTGTCTAAGCATGAGATTAAACTACAACTATAAAGGAAAACATGCAAATTAAGCTACATTTATATTAAAAGCTATCATATGCAAAAGAAAAATGACCATATGTAAGATGAAAGGACAAGTGAAAATAAAATATAGTACTATATGTATAATACTGTAATATATAAAGGTGTCAACTCTGCACTGAGGCCCACAAGGCTAAAATATTTATTATCTGACCTTTTACAGAAAGTTTGTGGACCCTTGACCTAGAGTATACATAGAGAGTTCCCACAGATCAATAGGGGGAGGAGGGAAAGTAATCAAATAGAAAAAAAGTAAACACCACAAATAGGCAATCCACAATAGAAACAAAACATACCCACCACATATTATAAAAAGAGAATTAATCTCTGGTAATTAGGAAAATTATTAAATGATTAAGTCATTTAATAATATTCAATCCTGGTAATAGCATGACACAGCCTTTTTTGGAAGGCAATTTGGTGATATCTGTAAAAAAACTGAATACGTTTTATGTCAACCCAGTCATTCTATTTTTAGGTGTCTGCCCCAGAGAAATACTTGAATTCGTGCAAGCACACACACACAAATCCAAAAGCACGGAGAAAGATGCCTGCCGAAACATTCACTGTTTGTAACAGCATAACCCAGAAGCAACCTTGATGTCCACCAATAAGGGAATGATGAAACTATGATACATCCCTAGTGGTACAATATGAGGAACAATTTGGGTATATTTCTATGTAATGCCATGAAAAGAGCCACAAGACATGTTATCAAGCAGGAAAAAAAATGTTGCAGAGCAAATATGTCCATACAGTTTAAGTTTAAAAAGGTTTCAATTGTGTATTTGAATACATGCCTGAGGAGAATGCACAGAAGGACTGAAGAATAAACATCACCTTGTGAACAGGGGCTGGGACTGGAGGGAAGCATGACAAGTAATAAAGGACTGTCATGTATTACTTATCCTGGATCACTCTAAATTCCAACAGTGAGGGAGAGTCTGCAATCTCAAGCCCTGGTGGGCAACACCAAGCCTGCCCTCCAAGTCACCTTCTACAACACAACCATCCTAGGCCTTGTATGTTCATGGGGTAGCCACTGTAGACCCTTAATACGAACAGGAGAAAGAAGAGTGACTTAAGAACCCTGGCTGTGAACCCTCAAATGGGCAAGTCGCTTCTTTCTCTGGGATTCAGTCTTCTCATTGGTAAAATCAGCTGCAGTCCCTCACAGGTTTCTGTATCTCTCCAGGGGGGAAAAAAAAACAACCAACAACCACCAAAACCCATAGCTAAAGGAATATGCTCAAATCAGAGAAGTTTTAGAGGCATATTTATCCCTGGGACAATGACATCCCAAGAGCAAAAGTCAGTCAACGCCACTCACTGCTTGCCTGGTCTCAGCATCCTCGCCTATTAAAGAGGGAGGGGGTGGCCTGCAGGATAGCTGATCTATCTTCCAGCCTTGATAGTCTAAAATAAGCTCAGGGTGGGGAGGGGCAGCAGGAAGCAAAGACTTGAGGGAGACTGATGGGAACCGATTGGCTGAGGTTTTCTAATGGAGCCATGAGGATGAGTGTAAGAGGTTGGGGGAGGGCAGGATGCACAGAGCAGCAGCTAAGGCTATTGGCAACAGTGGAGTCTCCCTCTTCTTTTAGAGCAGTTTCTTCCTGGAAGATCCCAGGAGGTAAAAGGCTGGCCTAAACTCTCCCAGCACAAATAACCCCACTCATTATTTCAGAAACTACCATTTCAGTTGTGCCCTGGAGGACTCAGGCCTGTTTCAAAACCCACAATTCAACTGTGGATACAGTGAAAGAGTAAAGTGCTTTAAATTTGTGAGCCCCCTCTTTAATTCAATTAATAAGCAACAGATTTTTTTTTAACAGATTCAACTCAACTATGCAGAATCCACTCTAGTTTATCTGCACTTAAAAATCAGAAGACAGGCCCTATGAGGTGTAAATACCTAATTTACCAACTTTAGCAGTTGCCTGGAATTACCAGTACACCCCTCAGAATAACCTCTGACAATTCAGGAATTCCTAAATCAAAATTAACTAAACTTTGTTTGTGTTTTAAATTGTAAGAGAAAAAAAGTTTTAATAAGATAATGACTTTCTTTCACAACAGCCTGGTGAGGAAAGACAGACAGGGACCTCTACTCCCATTTTATGAAAAAAGAAGAGGCAAAGGGACTTGTTCAAGGTCACCGAGTTAAAAATGAGTCAAGCCTAGGAGCAAAGTTTCTTGATTCTGATGACAGAACCCTCATTACCACATAAACTGCTTCCTAGAAAAAGACATCAAGCCAAGAAAGAATTTCCCTTAAGTGTCTGTCCACCCCACACACCAGATCACCTTCTAACTAAGAAACTTAGTTAAACGCTTTCCAAGCTGACCCGGTCCTTTGGTCCTAACATCGTATGACTTCAAGGGCTGGCGTGTTTGGTTAATCTTTTGGTTTTAGATGAGTTTTTTTTCCTGACTGTTGGGAATCTAGCCTCCAAGGAAGGCACCAAGTCCCAGGCCATAACCCCTACCCTGCTATCCTACTCTGGCCTGCCGCGTAAACAAGTCAAACCCTGGGAGCACTTAAGCGGCATTCAAAACAGCCAGGCTAGGCCGGTCCACTTCAAAGCAATGTTTTCCATCTAAGGGGTTCTTCTGCAAAAGGAGTGGCTACAACTAGGTCACACTGGACTGGAATGTGAAAAGAGCTCCACTGGTCTCATTCAGAGAGATGAGAGAAAGCTCTGAAGAGGAAGGAGACTGGGGCAGCGGGTGAGGAGGGGCCACAGACACACGGGAAGGAGACAAGGCTTGGTCAGGAAATCCAATGAATCTGCATGTTCCAAAGTCCTCCCAACGTTCCAGAGAATCCTGAAACAGTAGGAGCTCGGAGAGCAAATCAGTGCAGGGGTCCCCAAAGGCCAGTTGAGACTACAATCAAACTTCTTGGGGAGCTGTTACCAATACAAATTTCCCCTTCTCTTAAATCACTCCTGGGTCAGCCCCCCCACGATTCTATGTTGAAAGACTGACTCTGATGCAGGTTTGGGACCTACTAAACTAGTCCAAAGCCCTCATTTGACAGATAAGGCTGGGAGAAACAAACCCATCTCCCCAAAGACCCACAGATCTCTTCATTCCTTGCCATGTAACCCGAGAGCTGGCAGGGCAGGGTGGGGAGAGGAACCCCCAGCTCTCCCATCAACAGGAGGTCCTCTGGTTTTTAAGTTCAAGAGCAAAACCATCCTCCCCAGACTTCAAGGCCCTCACCTCTCTTCTGTTACTGAGAGCAGCAATGATTTCGAAAAAGAGCAGACTGGGTCTGACAAGAGGGAAGTCCACAGTCGGCTCAGACAGTCTTACTCCCTTGGCCATTGTTGAGGGACAAGTCTAGCACCCGACCCAAAACAGAGTCGGGGAGGGGGGGGGGGTCCTGAGAAGCAGCAAGCAATCGCCAAAGGTTTTGTTCCTACTAAGAAAAACCAGGCATTTTTGAGTCACCCAAAAAGCATGAATCACATGGCAGGGCTATGGGAACGGGAAAGGATGTTATTTTTCTGCATACTTGAGGATATTCCTTTTGTCCCGACTCTATCAATACATTTCCCATACCCTCCCCTCCACCTCTCCCATCTTACCCCGCAAGATTCACACTTTTTCCCCCTCCATTCCCACCCATCCCCGGTAGCCTTCAGCTGCACCCCCACCCTTGCCCGCCTCGTAACTGGGCCACGTCTGCTCCCCTTCCCACAGCAGAACGGAGGTCTCCCGGGCGTCGGAACTGGGGGAGGCGGCCAGCTCCCCCGGCGAGGCACTCTGGCCCGCCCCAGCCGACTCCCCGCAACACCTAGCGGGGCGCCCGTGCGCCCGGGAACTTCCAGCCCGGGAGAGCGGCCGCGGGTCCGCAGGCGCGCGGCTCAGGGCCCGCGTCTCCACCTCGCTCACCTGCGTCAAGTCCTCGTCGTTGAGCAAATGCGACTCGCGGGGCTTGAAGCAGTTCTGACACTTGCTCTTGTTGAAGATGTTGGCCTGGAATTTCCTGCACGGGTTCTCCTTGGCCGCCGACATGGTCGTCGCGGCGGCGGCGCAGGCCCGGCGGCCCGGCCCGGCCCGGCGCGCGCTCGGCTGCGGACGGCGGCCGGCGGGGCGGCGGCACCATGCACGGCCGGCGGGGGCGGCTCGGGCCGGGCTCAGCGCGGGCGCCGCGGCATGCCCCCGCCGCCCGCCGCCTCCCAGCCGCGCCGCCGACGCAGGCCCCGCCGCCGCCGGAGCGCGCCCGCGGCGGTCAGCGCGGGCTGGCGGGCGCCGGGGTGCGGGACGGGCCTCTCCTCGCGCGGCGGCGCGGCGCGGCGCGGCGAGCCCGGGCACCTCGGCCGGCCCCGCGCCCGGGCCCTCACAGAGCGCGCGCTCCCCGCCGCCCGCCCGCGCAGCCGCCGCCCGGCCGCCGCGGGCCCATGGACGCGGCCTCCCGCGCCCGCCGCCTCTCCGCGCTCCGGCCCGCCTCCCCGGCGCCGGGTCGCTGCCAGTGCCCGGGGCCTGTCCCCGCCGCCGCCGCTGCCCTCGGTGCCCTGCGGCCGCAGCAAATGGTAGCGGAGCTCCGCGCGCACTCCCGGGCCGGGGCGGGGCGGGCGGGCGGCGGGTGCGCGGGGGAGGAGGGAGCGATAGGGGCAGAGCGCGGGGCGGGGCCGCGCCCCCAACTCGATCGGCGGCCCGGCGGCCCAATGACAGCGGCGCGCACTTGGTAACAAAGAAACCTCTCGGCCAATGGGGGCTGGGGGCGGGGACAAAGAGCCGCCCAGCTCAAGGTAACTTGTGCGGGCGACGGAAGGTGGGGGCGCCGGCTTGGGACGTTCAGGTTTGGTGGACTGGCGCCGAGGCCGGCCGGGTCCTGACAGCTGCAGGGGCTGGGCGGGGGCCTGTGGGGGAAGGGGCGGAGCCGACTTCCCCGCTAGTCGTCTGCAGACCTCTCGCTTCCAACCTCGTCTGCCCGTGCCCATCCTGGGCACCCAAGCCCAGTTCCGAGCGGATTAGTTTAATACCTACTGTGTGCGATGCCCCCCTAGTCGCAGTCACAGGCAGCTTTATTAACAAGGGCCACATTTTGTTCCAAGTGCTTGACAGGCATTAGCTCATTAAAGTTTCGCGGCCTCTCCATTATCATCCCTATTTCACGCAGGCGGAAACAGGCTCAAAGTAGTTAAGAAATAGGAGGTAGGGTTTCAAGGGATGACTAAGAGAGGATGTCAGCCTTGAAGACCTGTCACTTCTATTATGGGAGATTAGTGAAGGCTGACTCCATGCCAGTTACTGAGCTAGGCATTCTTTCCCTCATTACGTACTTCAGGAAATTAAGGCTCAGACACCTGAAGTGGTTTGTGCAGGGTCTCTCTGCTTAGGAGAGACAGAGCCGTCATTCCAAACCTGTATTGTCTAGTCTCCTGGTCAAAAGATTAGCTGGGAAAACTATAAAAGAAACTTCTGTGCAGGCAGAAGATTGTAGGAGCACTGAGAGGAGGGATATGATCTCTGAGAAAATTAGGAAGAGCTACTAGAGGTGGGGTTAGGAAGAAGGAGCAGGATGGAGGAGGCTATAGGTATTCATGACAACGGATCTTCCAGGTTCTTGGATTTCAAGTTCAGGCGTGTAAATGTCATCCTGTTGGCAGCCTGGAGTCAATGAGGAAGACAGACCTCTTTATACGGGTGAGCTAACTCAGCCTTCACTGAGGAGGTGACATTGAAGCATGTGTTAGCAGCAGCGACAGCATCTGTTGCTTCTGGAATGGGGGAGGTTCTAGGAGAATTAGCAAATGCTTCCAGAGCTGTGTACTTTTCCACTGATCATCTGGTGAATATCCCAGGGAGGTAAATTTCAACTCATTGTATGAAATTGCTTCCCTCCAAAGGAAATGGAAGGAAGGTGGACTGAAGTCCTGTAGCAGCCTGAGAGGGCAGCCCAGCTCCACCGCTTGCTAGCTCTGTGGCTGCTGCCTCAGTTATCTCATCTACACAATTTTGGCATGATTGTTTGGTGCCTATGAGCATTATGTGATATTATGCTTGTAAAATATTAAGCATAAAATAGAAAAATGTTAATTGGTAAATCTAAGCAGAGGGTGTTCTTTGTACTGGTTTTGTGGCTTATCTGTTAGTTAAAATTTTTACAAAACCAAAAAATGTGTGTGCTAAGGGACAGAGACAATTCTTGCCTGCATAGAATACTCAGAAACTGATACCAATGGTAACCTCTGGGGAGGGAGCTAGATAGTTGAGAAGTGACCTACTTTTAATTTTCACTGTAAGCTCTTTTGTTCCTTTTGGATCTGGTATGTGTGCATGTACAACTTGTTTTAAAATAAAATTTAAGATCCTACTCTACTCTTGCTTCAAGATCAATTCAAAGGCCACTTCCCTGAAGAAAATGCTTGGCATGTTCTACTCAAGTCAGTAGGTAGACCTAGCACCTGCTAAATAGAAGGGATCCATGGCTGGGGTTACTAGGAAGAATTGAAGTTGCCTGCGAGGAAGGAGCTCACACTGGAGCAAGTGGTAACAAATAGAAACAGGAGGCAAATAGACACCTTCAATCAGGGATATTGTGGGGGTCCATTCAAGGGCACCTAGCTCTGTAAGCAAATTCAGTGAAGATTCTGTGGAGGAGCCAGTGCAAGTCTGAATCCTGAGCTCATTAAGACACATCCAGGAGAAGGTGGAAGGAGGGATGGAACACCACTGGTAGAGGCACAGCACACTGAAAGCAAAGCAGCTTGATAGGACTGGGTAGTACAGAGAGGTGGGAGGAAAAAATGAGTAATTGGGAGGATTAAATGGATGGTGCATGCAAAGGTTTAACACATGCTGTATAAATACCTGTTATGACAGATTAAAGTGCAACCTCTTCAGGAAGATAGATGTTAATGATGATGATGATGATCATTATCATGATCATGATCATCATGATGATTTTATCTCCATTTTACAGAATATACACGAGGCTGGGGCTTTTAAAAAAGTAACCTGTGATCACAGTATAGATCCTCTATGTGAGGATTCAAGCCCACACATGCCGACACCAGAGCTGCCTGGAAAATGGGGAACCATTAACTGAATTTTTTAAATTGAGCACTTAAATATGGCTGTTGGTCTGGAGTATGAATCAGAGGTCGCAGTCTGGTAACTTGATTGACTAGGACAGTGTCAGCAGGAGAAGAGGGGAAAGAATTTAGATATTTAGGAGGAGGAGTAGGTGTATTTAACCATTTGTTGTGCTGCTCTGCAAGACTGGACTAGACTATGAGCACCTTGAAGGCAGAGGTGATTCTTGTTCTTTCCTACTTCAGTGCCTGGCTCATAGTAGGTGCTCAAAAAGCACACGGCAAGTGATCGAATGAAAATGTACTGTTCTGTCTTGTGCTGTATCTCCCATACCAGATTATAAAACCCACGCAAACAGGGTCTACATTTTGTAACCTTGGGTTTCATTTCCAGGTACCTAGAACAGCATTTTGTATGAGGTCAAATACTCAAAGTGAATATGTCAAGATTAATTAGACTGTACCCTTAAGTAAGTTTCATGTATGCATCTCAGTGTATAAATGTGTATCTAGAAGGTGCAATTAACAAAGAAGAAACAAAGGTCTCCAAGTAGGCTCCCAATGCAGGTAAGTCCTGATCTGTGCACTGGTTGAGGGACAGTAGAGAGGGAAATGTTTTGACAGACCTGGGATTATCGTAGTAGAGGTCATGCCTTAGTTGGCTGTTGCTGCATTAAACTACCCATTCTACCAAACACAGTGGCTAAGTGCAGATGTATGCCTTTCATAGTTTTGAGTTGACTGGGGTCGGCCAATCAGTTTTGCTGGTCTTTCCTGGAGGCCTTTCATGTGAGACTGGGCTGGGTCCCCAAAACCCAGCTGGCTGGGTTCCTCCTTCTCCTTCCCCCGTGGCCTCTCCCCTTAACTCTTTTTTTTTTAATAATAAATTTTATTTTTATATTCCCCATACAATTGCAACCCCCCCATTATGACCCCAATCCCTCCCCTCCCACCCCCCCCACCCCCCTCCCCTTAACTCTTGACTGTTCATGCCATCTCAGTGTCCCAATGTGCTCTGAGAAGAAGGAAGAAGCTACTAGTGCTCTTACAGGCTGGGTCTGGACTGGTGCAGTGTCACCTCTTCTGCATTCTATTAGTCAGCACCTGGCTGACCCAGACTGGTCGTGGGAGGGGAATGCAGAAGGGTGTGGATCCCAGGAGACACAGTGTACTGGAACTCCTTTTGAGACTAGTTCCCTCAAATAGCATCTACTTCATAGGGTGACTGTGAAGACTAAATAAATTAATTTATATAATGTGTTTAGGATGATACCTGAAACATAATAAGTGCTCAAAAACTACCAGCATTTATTATTATACCTATAATCCCTATGCCAGACTATTGACTATTTTTCTTTTTCTGTAAAAAGCCATTTAATAAACATTTTAAGCTTTGCAGACCACATAATCTCTGTTGAAACTACTTGACAAACTATTGTTACCACATACAGGCATGCATAGGCAATATATATATATGTGTGTGTGTGTGCCTGTGTTCCAGTATATATATGAATGTGTGTGCCTGTGTTCCAATAAAACTTTATTTACAGTAATAAATAGTAGGCCAGATTTGGTCCATTCCTCTTTTCCAGTCGCTTGGGCCTCCCCCTTCTGGCTAGTCTCTCAGAAAGGACAGTATTCCTGATCCTGGTCTAGTCCCCATCAGTTATCGTGTCACCTCTTGGGTGATTCATGATCATTGAGCACTGATGGTGTGTGCTGGACAGTGTGCTGGGTGGTGGCATTCAGTTATACAAAATAACTGACCATTTGAAGGCAGCTCTGGTAGTGCAATGTGGTGAATGATGGGAGTCCTTATTACCCTCCCCCCATCCTGCAACAGTCTCTCCAAAGCCTCCCCAAATGAACATGTACTTCAATTGAAATGGTACAAACACATCTTCAGGAAAAACCTCCTTGCCCTTCCCTGATAGCTCTTCCCTGGAACTGCTATTACTCCTGGCTTACAGATAGGGAGCTCAGTAACACCAGAGTACAGTGAGGTCAACTACCTTATTCCTGGTCATACAACCAGTAAATGGTAAGACCGGATTCAGAAATTGGCTTCAGGTTCATAACCACTTTGCACAACCTCCATCTCAGCTTGCTGCAGCCCTGCCCTGAGTATCGGAAGCCTGGCCCTGCCTTTCCCTGAGGCGCAGATGGCTGCCCTGGAAGCCAGATTCAAAGATCTCAGAGGCCTCTTCCAGCTCTGTCCCCATGATGCCTTTCTACAACAGGCACCAAATGACAATAGTCCGCAGATATGCATCAGAAGAGAAAGTTGTGCTTTGCATGTACTAATTCCACCGGAAGAGCAATTTAGCCATTCTATTAAAAATTTGAATATACATACTCTGACTAGTGACTCCACTTGTAAAATTACTCCCTCAGATATGCAAAGGTGTAGTATGTTCAAGGATGTTTACTGCATCATTGTTCTTCAGAACAGAAAATTGGAGATATGCCAGCTGTCTACCTTTAGAAGCTCAGATAAATAAATTATGGTTCTTTGATACAGGGGATTGCCATGAAGCTATTAAAGAATGAGATAGTGTTGAAATAGCCAACCATCTGCAAAATACTGTTTAAAAGCTAGTGGAAAATTGTACATATAGTGGTAGCACATTCCTCTTTTAAGTATGTGTTTCTGTAATATACATAGTATTTGCATAGAAAAGGTCCAGAGGCACATATAGAGGCACAACTTCCAGTTGTCTTATAAAAACATTATTTATTTTTGTAATAATAAAAAAGGACATTTGTAGAAGAACTGACATATACCAAACTATTATAACTGATCCTAGGATTTAAAAAGAAATGAGGACTCTCACCTATGGATTTATATTGTGTTTAAAAATTTTCAGACAAATTTTGTTTTTTACTAATATAGAGAAAATTGTATGATGAAAGTGGGTGTTCTTATCACCTGCCTTCAACAATCATCAGCTCATGATGAGTCTTGTTTCAGTCAAATCCCCACCTACTTCTCCTCTCCCTTATTACATTGAAGCAAATCCCCAATTCATATAATTTCTTCCATAAATACTTCAATGTGTGCCTCTAAAAGATAAGGACTATTTTTTTAAAGTAGCCACAATGCCATTATCACACCTAAAAAAATATCCTTTAATATCATCAAATGTCCAGTAAATAATTCCCAGTTATCTCATAAAAACATGAATTATTTTTGTAATAAGAAAAAAAGGGGAGGGGATTGAAAAAGGAAAATGTCAATCCAGTGAGTAAATTGGTACAGCTTTCCTGGAGGTTTGTTTAGTGATACTTATCAAAAACCTTATAAATGTGCTTATCTTTTGACCAACAATCCCAACCCATGAATTTATTCCAAGAAAACAAAATGAAAAAGATACACAGAGCCTGCTCACCAGAGTGTGCATTGCCTGTTATGGAGAAGTTGCTTGAAAAATATTTGTTGAATCTGAGGTTGAGCTACAGTGCCATTCTTTGCAGCTTTGTTTATAAAAGAAAAAAACTGAGCGGCCTCCCTGGTGGCACATGGGGTTAAGATGCAACCTTTGAAGCTATCCACAGCCACTGCTGCACAAGGTCAATCCCCAGCCAGGGAGCAACCCACGTGGCGCAGCAGACCTCTCCTGCCTCGCCTGCTGCTCTCCTCAGCAGTGTATTTCCGTCAATCTGCCTGTTCCGTTCCCCACTCTGTCTCTGGTAAATCCTCTCACCAACCACACCTCTGGCCTGTACCCCAGTTTTTGTATGTGTAAATAAATAAATCTTTAAAAAAAATCAAAAGCAACAAAATAATCAAACTTGCCACGAGGGTACCAGCTAAACAAATGATGGCAGATCCATAAAGTAGAGTGGGATGCCACTCTACTTTCTCTCATTTCAGATCAGGTTGTGAGAACACATGTAGTCATTCCCCCTCCAAGAGGTGGAGTTCAATCCCTCACTGCGTGAATTGGGGGAAAACAGTACTTTCACATTTGAGAAATCCAGCACATACTCCCTTACCAAGGGAACAGCTTTTCCATTACCTGTGATAAATCGTGTAAATATCAGGTACCCCCTAATATGAAGAAGTGAAAGTGTTCCTTTTCTCTGTGGTCATCTCTTCCCAAAGCCATAACATGCTGCATCCTGAGAAAAACATCAGGAAAATGCAGACTGAGGGGCATTCTACAAAAATACCTGAGCAGCACTTTTCAAAACTGTCAAGGTCATGAGAACAAGGAAAGACTCAGTGACTGTCATGGACCAGAGGAATGAAAGGAACTGGCTTTGAGAGTCACGTGGGAAACCAGATGGGGTCCTGGAACAGAAAAAGGACATTTGTGGAAGAACTGGCAAAATGCTAATTAGAGTCTGTAGCTTAGTTAATAATATTTTACTAATGTTTATTTTTTAGTTTTGGCAAATGTACCATAAGATTTAACATTAGCAGAAGCTGGGTTAAGAGTTTGTGGGAACTCTGTATTAGGACATTTTCTCCTCTTCACTGTAAACCTAAAATCATTCAAAAACTTAAAAATTATTTAGAATGTAATTATTTATCCTCAGAGAAATTTTATTCATGGTATATTATGGGGAAATTTATGTAAGGTCTCATACAGTTTTTGCTGAGTGAACCCATTTTTGTAAAAAAGTTACTAACAAGGCGTGCACATATACTTGAATGGATATACACACACATGTACATACACATGCAGAAAAACAAAAATCTGGAAGCATATATTTCTGGGACTGCAGTCAGGGCCTTGGCAGGTGAGGACCCACTGCAGTGCCTTTGATGAGCCAGAGGGTGCATGGACCTAAAATGGGCAGCACCTTCATAGCCCCAACCAGTTGCTGTTCTATGGGGCTTAGAATCAGTCCTGACAGATTTTCTACTTATAAAACAAAACAAAACAAAACACCTAGGTTGTCATACAAATTTCCAGGGCTCACTCATTTGAGGGGAGGAAGGCCGTCAGGTTCACACAACCAAGGAGAAGGGGCCTGGGATTGAAAGAGGTAGGCACGCAGACTGCCAGCTGGACTGCCCCCGGCTTGGCCCCACCATGTGCACCAGGGCCTGGAGGATGGCCAGCTGGCCAGGGCAGGATGAGACTGCTGCTCTTCCGGCCTACAGCCCTGCATGCAACCTGACTTGGGGGTGGAGGCTCAGAGTCTATACCCTGGGTCACTTAGGAGGTTGTGTGTGTGTGTGTGTCTGTGCGTGTGTGTGCACATGGGTACATGTGAGTTATGGAAATAGCATCTCCTTGGGTGTCCATATCTGTACATGTCCACGTGGGGGTCTGACTACCTTTGAGGGAACACGTAAGCATGGCTATGTTATATGTCTGCTTGTGTATTGGTATATTTATCTGTGGGTCCATGACTGGGTGAGTGTGATATGAGTTGTGTGGAGGCATCTATGTATTTGTTGTATGTATGTGAGACAATGCCATGGGCTTATGTGTTTTTGCAGACAGCTACACTCTTTGGTTGGCCTCGATGCCTATATACCTGTGTATCTGTGGAATTGCCTAGGTGTTGTGCTCTGTCTGGCTGAGTGTGTTGCTCACATGTGTGTTGTACGC